AAGGATCGCCGGAGCCCAGCAGGCCGAGGCTGCGGTGGCCGGGAGCGGCCGCTGCACTCCGGTCTGGGCGACGGAGTGAGACTCCGACTCAAAAAGAAAAAAAGTGCTATGGCTCGCTCCTTTCCCGCACAGGCTCCTGTCTTAAGGTGGTTAGACAGGAGAATTCCTTTCAGTAGCAGAGAAGGGACGTGAATGCGCCTGTATAAAAGGGTGGGTCAGCTCCGCCTTAGAAGGATCGGCAGGACCTCCCCACCCACAAAAGAGTCAGGGGAGGAGAAGTGAGACCACGCTCTTGACGGGTAAGGCTGGGCCGGGCTGACCTCTAGCGGCAGGGCGGGCGCCCGCACGCTGCCCGGATCCAAGATGGCGCGTCTGGAGGCAAGAGCGGGCATCGGGACGCGATCATGTGCCCGGGGCGGGGCCTGCGCCAAGGGGGCGGGACGGGGCAAGGCGGGGCGGCGCTCTAGGCCGAGCAGGAGGTCGGGGCTGCGGGCGCTCGCTGGTGGCGGACCCGGAGGCTGCTGCGGCGCCGGGGCTCCATTGCCGGGGTCGAATCCGATCGAAGGCCATGAGCGTGGACAAGGCCGAGCTATGCGGGTCTCTGCTCACCTGGGTAGGTCGAGGGGCGGGGCTAGGGACAGGTGTGTGCCCGCTTCCCCGTGCCCGGGATCCCCGGCCCGGATTCGGTCCGCCCTTTAGTCCTGGGCCTGTGGGTGAAGGGGTCGTCGGTCCGCTGGGCCATTGAACTCTGACCTGAGCACCTGCCCCCGTCACGTGGCAGGTGTGCGTTAAAAGGACAGGTGAGGCCCCACCTCTCTGTGGCTAGCTCACGTGGGGGCGAGGGCACAGGTGAGTCAGTCAGCCTGGTCACGTGATCCAGCGGGTACCAGGTGACTTGTGGTACTGCCCTGGCCTCGCGGGGTTTGTTGGGGAGAGGTGAAGTGAGGCCACGCCCCCTCTGGTCCCAGGTGAGCAGAAACCGCTCCCCCACACTGCTGGTGTGGTGGAGCAATAGATAGCCGCTGCCCAAACCATGTAAGGTTCTTTTTTTTTTTTTGAGTTGGAGTCTTACTCTGTTACCCAGGCTGGAGTGCAGTGGCATGCTCATGGCCACTGCAGCCTTGACCTGCTGGACTCAGGCGATCCGTCTGCTTCAGCCTTCCAAGTAGCTGGAACTACAGGCACGCACTACCATGCCCAGCTTCTTTTCTGATTTACTGTAGAGATGAGGTCTCACCAAGTTGCCCAGGCTGGTCTTGAACCCCTGGACTCAGGCAGTCCTGTCACCTCGGCCTCCCAAAGTGCTGGGATGACAGGTTTGTGCCACTGCACCCAGCGCATGTGAGGTTCTTGCTGATCAGAAAAGTCTGCAAAAGGGGAGCAGTTGGGTGCTCCCAGGATTTGACTGTCCCCATTACCCTTTTCTTTACCCCTCAGTTGCAGTCGTTTCATGTTCCACCTCCCTGTGCCAGCCCCCAGGACCTGAGCAGCGGCCTCGCCATAGCCTATGTGCTGAACCAGATGTGAGTGGGGCTGAGGGGGAAGTCCCAAAAAGGTCCCCCAGCCAGCTCATCCCATCTTCTCACCCTCAGAGACCCCTCCTGGTTCAACGAGGCATGGCTCCAGGGCATCTCAGAAGACCCAGGTCCCAACTGGAAGCTGAAGGTGACAGATGGACTCATGACTAGGGGACAGACTGGCAAAGAGATAACTAGGGAAGGGTCAGCTAGACACATGTCCTGGGTGACAGACTTTGCTAGGAAGGACAGACGTCTGGTGATCAGCCAACTATTTGTTCATTCATTTATTGGGTACCCACCATGTATCAGGCATGAACATTCAGCAAGAAATAACATGAAAAAAATCCATTTTCACACAGCCACCATTCTAGTGACAAACAAGACATACACAACCATAGAAATTAACTTCCAATGCCAATAGTTATAAGAAGACAGGAAAAGTATGGCCATGAGACAGCTAGGTGGGGGTGGGTGGGTGGGTGGTTACCTGAGATGGGCTGATCTCTGTGTAAGAGCTGAAGGAATAGTGTTGCAGGCACAGGGATCAGCAAATAGAAAAGCTCTGAGTTGGGAATAAGCTTGCTGTGGTCAAGGAATGGTAGGAAGGTCAGAACAGAGAGCAAAAGAGCAAGAATTGTAGCAGATGAGGTAATCAGGGGCCTGGCAGGCTCTGATGGGGGTGTGGATTCTATTTTAAGTACTATGGAAAGTCAGGGAAGGGTTTTAGCAGAGGCAAACTCACTCAGGCTTGGGCTTTAAAAAGCTCCACCTTGCTGCATGGAGCGGAATGGAGAGTAGACAGCAAGCATAGAAGATGAGAGGTGGCTAGTGCACTAATCCAGGTGAGAGAGGAGGATGGATGGATAGGACCAAGGGGTGGCAGAGCCAGGGATGAGAAGTGACTTGCTTCTGGGGACATGTGAACATAGATGGTCAGGCGAACAAAAAGGGCAATCAGCCAGACAGGTCACCCCTAGGGTAGGACACATTCAGACACAGAATGAGGCCAAACAGGATGAGATGGGCAGGGAATGAGAAGCATGGTAGAAGCGTACAGATTCAGAATAGGGGAGCCTCTGAGCCCCTGTCCATAGCTCCTTGCTGTTCCCCAGGTCAGCAATCTGAAGACGATTTTACGGAGCCTGGTGGAATATTCCCAGGATGTGAGTAACTGTAGAGGGATTTAGGAGGTTGAGGTGGGAGAAGGGGAAGGGACCGCAAACCCCTGACAGTCCCTCTCCGCTTTGTCTTCAGGTCCTGGGGCATTCTCTGCCAGAAGAGCACCTGCCAGACGTGAGCCTCATTGGCGAGTTCTCAGACCCTGCAGAGCTTGGCAGGCTGCTTCAGATCGTGCTGGGCTGTGCCATCAGTTGCGAGAAAAAGCAGGGTATGTGGGGGGGGGGTAACAGGGAGTCCCTGGGCCTGGCCTGAAGATATTCTCCTTCCTTCCCAACCTACCCCTGGGTCTCAGCCTCCCCAACCTTGATCCCCAGAACACATCCAGAGAATCATGACGCTGGAGGAATCAGTTCAGCATGTGGTGATGGAAGCCATCCAGGAGGTGGGTGAGGGTGCCCAGTGTGGCAACTGAGGCGTGTCTCGGGAGGGGACATCTCCAGGGCAGAGGCAACTGGGCCCAGGCCCTGCCCTGGTAAGACCTGAGCTCTGCCTGAAACTCAGCTGGCCAGACATCTCGTATGTCTGCCAGCTCCTCTCAGTTCCAAGCTGCAATCCAGCAGGCTCAAAAGACCTGGCCTCCGTGTATGCTGGAAGCAAGAGGGCAGCCCCTGGGCTAGGGTTATTGGGTAAAAGTGACCTTGAGGATGGGAGGATGGAGAAGTTCTCAGCCTGGATTGTAGATGGCTTGAAGACGCTCTCAGATACCCAGTATTTTTTTGTTTTTGTTTTTGGTTTTTTTTGAGTTGGAGTCTCACTCTGTTGCCCAGACTGGAGTGCAGTGGCATGCTCCTGGCCACTGTAGCCTCGACCTGCTGGGCTCCGGCGATCCTTCCGCCTCAGCCTTCCAAGTAGCAGGAACTACAGGCATGTGCTACCACGCCCAGCTAGTTTTTTTTTT